TTAGTTCTATAACTTTCCCTCTCTCCCCCCAGCCCTCTCCCCTCATCCCCACAAACTATCCCCACTCCGTCCACCGCTCCCGCCCCACACTCCTCCCCACTTGTGTGTATGAATGAGTGTGCCTACGGGGATGTGTGTGTGCCCATGCCAGTGTCTGCAGGGGGCTGCATGTGCCGCCATGTCCCTGCACGTGCGTACATTCGCTACTGCATTAGCCCTTGTGGGCTTGGAAAGCAGGACACATCTCAGCATGGGCCATGGGCTGCTGCCTACTTTTTCAGGTGCTCCTGCAGCATTATAAATGCTCACATGAGGTTGGATCAGCCAGTTCAGAGCAGCTGTAACAATAATCTGGGCCCACGGGATCTTATCACTGGTGCCCTTGGCCTCCATCCCGTTGTTTGTCACATTTACTTGATGTGACTGATCCTCCATTTGATTGTTAATTCTTTCTGGCAGGGACATATCTTCCCCTGGGTTTGTGCCACACCCAATAGGGCCCCAATCCTGACCACAGTCTCTGGGGACAACTGTAATATAAACACACACAGACAAACGAAATCATGATTCCCAGTACAATGATAATTCACAACGATCCCTTCTGCGAAAGCACTTATCACCCAAAGATCCCAAAGCACTTTCCAAAGGTTGGCGCCGTAGATACCAACCCTGCACATGCAAAAACAGACACACACACAGCATCACACACACAAGCTGTCGCACTTTCACAGCACTTTGACTCTGAAAAGCCGTAATAGAAGCGTCGTGCCAATGGTGACTGGCTTAGACACCTGTGTGGGGGTGAAAAGAGGCCCGAAGAGTGCTCTGGACTGGTAAAGGACACGCCTCTTGCTTATGCCATCCTCTTGACACCTTTCTTTATCAGTGGAGGCATCGTTTTGCCTCCGAGTCAGCATGCTGGCATCACATCTGACAGGCCCGTACTGTTTGTTTAGCTGGGCCTTTGGGAAGCTATGGAAAGAAACTGGAAAACCTTCCAATCAGCATAGGAACTAGAGCCAGTGATGGGAGACCAAGATGTGTGAAGCGCTCTGGAGCAACAGCCAACCCCCTTGAGGCCATTTTAACCTTGTATTCCATGCCCCCTCACCAGTTGATCTGACTATATATGTTGGCCTGCCCTATATGCATTTTCCCTGCTATACAAAGGTGGATGAAATAAACTTAGGTCTCAGTTCTACCCTCAGATCCAGAAGCGTAACTCTCATTAAATCATGCCTTTAGGGCGAAGGCCCGGTCCTGTACACTCAGTTCACATGGTCCTAAGTATCTCAGAGGCCCTTGTGCAGGGTTCCTGAATGCGGATCAGCTTCACCCTTGGTTTTCTATAGTTCTGCTGCTTTACCTCTAAACTGTCTGCAGTTATGCTGCGTGGACAGGCCCTATTGCCTTTTGCATGGCAAAGAAGAATTGTGAGCCCCTGAGAAAGAGAAAGCTCTGTGTATGCTCCACAGTCCAGGAGAAACCCCAGCACGGACATATGGACAAAGGACCGTCTTGCATATGAAACCCACAGTTAATGCCAAAGGCAGGAGGAGTTTGCAGAGACAAGGGCCTGCCTTGATGCTGACCTGTGGCAGATGGGCTATGTGCTATGGTGAGAGGTGCCCTAGAAATAGAAAGATTTGGGGCGAATCCTGCCAGTAGTGGTTCTTCCCTTGGAATCAAACATTAGATGCCCATGGCACACACAGTTTACTCTTCTGCAGGCAGTAACACTTTGGTCTAATTCTGATTGCTCGGCTGGGTGTAGGGGTGCCTGTGGTCTCGTGGCCTGTGGTCATACTTGATGCTCTGGTGGCCTCCTTCTGCCCTTAAACTCTATGTGACTCTCTTTGCACAGGAAACACTTCTGCCTCCACTGTGAAATCTCTTTGATTCCCTTTCTCTTTGATTCCCTTTCTCCTGCTTACGACAGTTTCATCCATCCAGACAGGAAGCAGAAACACCATGGATGTGAGGCTTTCCGATCACACAGCCCAAGTGATCGATTCTGGATCGGTGAATTATTTGCTGCTCTCTTCCCTTCTCTTGTCTGATACCCCATTCCTAGCGCTCTCCCACACCCCCACCCTCCTGCCTGCAGCCCCCATCCCCAGGCCTGACCTGCCTGTATCAGAGTTCCCGAAGGGTGAAATTCAACCTTAGGCCAGGGCCTTAGAAGCCACTTAAACCTCATGTTAAAGGTTTACACAGGGACATAACTGATGCACCGACCCTTGGCATTCTGCCGGGGGGGTGCATTTCACCTTGGAGGAAAGCTCTCCCGTGATGGACTCCATCCCATATTTTATAGCTCAATCATCTCAATAGCCTAGGCTCGCTCTGTACTCCCAGAACTACAAATGTGTATGTATCTCAGCCTGGTTTTCCATGCTCTTATACATAGGGTTTTGTAACCCATGCCTGTAGGGTCTGGATGACCCTCATTTCATCACTGTAAAGGTCCAGCCCACCCAGGACGTGGTTCTCTCCTCACTTGCATTGGTTTTGTACTGGGGTTCAAGGGAGCGACTCCTGACTGCTATTGGTGTAACCGAGAGCCCCTGGCTTCTGCCGCAGATAGATTCCCTTCTCTTGAAGGCATGCCATCATTCCCTCAGTGCCCCTGTAAGCGGCACGTTCAACAGGCTAGTTGTCTCGTCCTCAGAACAGACACGTTTCTGAGCAGCTATTTCTTGTTGCACTAGCCTACAGTTGGTTTCTCAAAGAGTAGGGGAGAGGGGGTGTATCTCCCCCTCCCCCGGCCTGCCCACTCCTTCCCATAATCTAGTGGTTCCCAAACGGTCACAACCCCAAGTGGGCTCACAACCCCAAGTGGGCTCACTCCATCAGCAGGTGGGGTTGTGGAGGAGGCCATTTTACAAAATGGCCTCCTCCACACAGTGTGACCTCACATCCCCCACCCCATTTGTGTGAGGTCATGCCAGATGGAGAGTGGTATTTTGCTCAACAAAATGGTGCCCTCCGTGCAGCGTGACCTCATACTCACTGTATGCGTGTGACTTCACACTGTGAGGAGAAGGAGGAGGCCATTTTCTAAAGCAAAATGGCCTCCTCCGTGCAACATGACCTTGCACGTACAGTGCGTGTGAGGTCATGCTGCAGGGAGGCTGCCATTTTTAAGCGGCATCCTCCATGCCATCTGGGGGCGTGGGAAGCCATACAGGTGAGAAAAATGGGGTCATGCTGAGAACATGTCTGGGGACTGCTTCCCTAGCCCATCCAATCTCTATCCCACCTCCTCAGTATTGACCCTAGGAGATGGAGAAGGGAGATAGTATTACAGAGAACTAGCCCTTTCTCTCTCTGCATGGTACCTAGTGCAGAGGGTCCTTTCTGTGCATGGCTCTTCGGGAGGTGACTCACACTCACAGGATAAGCTGCACCAGTCCATGCTCCATACTCCACTGGTACAGTACAATCTACACCAGAACCAAAAGCCCCAGTATAGGCAAGGCCTTAGCCTTCAGGGCTTGAAGCTCTGAGGAGCTGCAAAACAACTGTAGACACAGCATGCCACTTCCATGATCTGGAAGCATGCGTGCGTTAAAGAGCAGCATGTGGGCCTTTGCATCACTGCCACAATTGGTTAATCACCATTCACATCCTTGGCACTAGCTAAACTGATGCTAATGCTGTCTGGGTGAAGCAGTCACCACCAATATTAACACACAGAGAGAGGGAGACACACACACACACAACCTCACCTTGCAGCAGAGACCAGGCAGGGAGACTTTCAGGCCAGAAGCAGGTGTTTCACCCCACCCCTCAATCTGAGAGCAGGGCTTGTAAGGGAAGCTAATTTGCAACTTTAAGCAGCACCAGGAGCCACTTAGGAGGATGAGGAGGATGGGTGGGGGTTGCTTTTGAAGATGTTACTAACAGGCTCCTGGGGAAGGTGAAGGCTGGTGGAGGACCTGTGCCTAGGACATGGGGGTGGGGGCTGGGGCCGGGAAGTTGGTATGGAAAAGGAATAAGAGGGGGCATTTTTTAAAAATACAGGCTTTGTTGTCAGGAGAGAAAGATCGACAATGGGGGAGGGGGAGGAGAGAGACAAAAACTGGGGGCAGGGCCGGGGGGAGACACACAAAGAGGGGAGGAAAGGGCCGGGGGAGACAAGAGGGAGTGGGGAGACACAGAGGGGCAGGAAACCGCTGGGGGAGGCACAGAGGGGGGAGGAAAGGGCCGAGGGGAGGCATGTGGGGTTGGGGAGACACAGAGGGGGCAGGAAAGGGCAGGGGGAGGCACGGGGGGGAGATCCAGAGGGGGGAGGAAAGGGCCAGGGGAGGCAAGGGGGGTGGGGAAGACACAGAGGGGGCAGGAAAGAGCCAGGGGAGGCACGCGGGGGGGAACACAGAGAGGGAAGGAAAGCGCCGGGGGAGGCAGGGAAGATACAGAGAGGGAAGAAAGAGCCGAGGGGAGAGACTGGCGGGGGGGAGACACAGAGGGGGAGGAACGGGGTGGGATACAGGGGGAGGACGGGCAGGGAAAGACACAGAGGGGCAGAAAAGGGCCAACGGAGGCACGGGGTGGAGGGAAGACACAGAGGGGGAGGAACAGGGGGGTTACGGGGGGGAAGGGCAGGGAAAGACACAGAGGGGGAGGAACGGGCCGGGAGAGGCACGGGGGGGGAAGATACAGAGGGGGGACAGGCAGGGAGCCCTCAGGTGTCTGGCTGAAGCAGCCTCCCCCACCCCGGCCCTGGGGAGTGTGTGTAGCTGCCCGGGGGGGGGGGGGCACAGAGAGCGCTGCCCCGGGAGCGCCGGGCGGGGGGGGAGAGGCAGGGACCCCGGATGCCTCCCCTCCGCTTTTGCTGCAATCTCATTGTCATTCCGCTCTTGCCTCTTGATGTCACCCTCCTCCCTTCCCCCCGCGCAGCCGGGGGCGGGGGGGGGGCCTGGGACGGGGGGGGGGGAGCTGGGGGAGGGCCGGGGGGGCCAGGGGGAGGACCTTCCAGAGCAGGGGCCTCAGCGCACCAGCCCCGGATGCATGACTTCATTCTTCCGCCTGGGTTTCCTTTATGATGTAGGGCTGCCCCAGCCCCAGCGCACAGACACCTCGGCAGGCTGCAGCGCTCCGCACTCCCTCGCCAGCCCGCCCGCCCGGCTCCGCTGCCGGATCGCGCTCTCCGGCCGCCCCGCAGGACCCCGGCCGCCGCCAGCATGTCTGAGATCCTCCCCTACAGCGAGGAGAAGGTGGCCCGCTTCGGCACCGACTCCGAAGTCAGCGAGATCTCCTTCAGCTGCCGGCTCCAGGACACCAACTCCTTCTTCGGGGGCAACCAGGCCAAGCGGCCCCCCAAGCTGGGGCAGATCGGCAGGGCCAAGAGAGGTAAGCGCCCCCTGCCTTCCCCGGTGGCAGGAGTGGCTCTGGACCCCCCCCCGCCCCTCCGTCCGGATCCGCAGTGGGGAAGGGTCTCCCCAGGTTCGGGGAAAGGGAACGGAGAACCCCACCACCACCACCCGCGTTCCCCTGGAGGGATCGGGCCGGGCTCTGTCATCGCACATGCCAGAGAGCAGCTCCTGCCAAAGCCCAGGGCTCTCCATTGTCCGCGCCACCCTCCCAGTGTCCCTGCGGGGGCGTCCCCCACCCCCACCCCGCTCCCCCAGCCGCATTCTGTGCCCGCTCCTGCCGCTGGCTGCGGTCTTTCTGAACCACCTTAGCTCGCTCTGCGCCCCCGCAGCAAGCCGGACAGGCAAGGGGCTCGCTCCGGGAGCCATTTTCCTGGGGCAGATTTCTCCAGCCGATGTTGGCTTGGGGCGGGGGGGAGGTGTATAGGGAGAGGCAAATACTGCGAGCCTAAGCCCCACAAGAGACCATCTCCGCCAGCCCAGCCAGCCTTGCTTAGGGGCTCCTGCTCCTGGATCCTGACTGTCTGCTTGTCCCCCCTGCAGTGGTGATCGAAGATGATAGAATAGACGAGGTGCTGAAGGGGATGACAGACAAGTCGCCTTCTGGGGTATAAGCCGGCAGAGGAGGCGCCTGCACTGAGCTGCAGACTCTGTTCACTGATTTTAAGCACTTTTGGCCGTGCATGTTTGTTGGACTGTGGTCAACGAGGAAAGCAAAGGAAGGAGATGAGGCTGCTGGCGACACCTTCCACCCCCAACCCAGACCCCAGCCCGAGGCGGTAACGGATGGGGCCATCTCACCCTCCTCAGCATCCAGCCGAGAGCGATGGGACAAAGGGAGCTGGCCGTCCATCCCTGTCCAGATTTTCAGGGCGCCGTGCCCACCCCGGAGATGCCATCTTTTTCAGCACCACGTCCTGCCCTCGCAACCCCCCTCCCTGCAGAATGGAGGAGCCGGCTACTGAGGCGCTATCCAGGGCCAGCGCCACTTCCAGCGCCCTCCCGCGGAGCTGTCCATTCCAGCGCCACTTCCAGCGCCACTTCCAGCGCCCTCCCGGGGAGCTGTCCATTCCAGCGCCCTCCCGGGGAGCTGTCCATTCCAGCGCCACTTCCAGCGCCCTCCCGGGGAGCTGTCCATTCCAGCGCCCTCCCGGGGAGCTGTCCATTCCAGCGCCACTTCCAGCGCCCTCCCGGGGAGCTGTCCATTCCAGCGCCACTTCCAGCGCCCTCCCGGGAGCTGTCCATTCCAGCGCCACTTCCAGCGCCCTCCCGCGGAGCTGTCCATTCCAGCGCCACTTCCAGCCCCCTCCCCGGGAGCTGTCCATTCCACGCCACTTCCAGCGCCCTCCCGGGGAGCTGTCCATTCCAGCGCCACTTCCAGCGCCCTCCCGCGGAGCTGTCCATTCCAGCGCCACTTCCAGCGCCACTTCCAGCGCCCTCCCGGGGAGCTGTCCATTCCAGCGCCCTCCCGGGGAGCTGTCCATTCCAGCGCCACTTCCAGCGCCCTCCCGGGGAGCTGTCCATTCCAGCGCCACTTCCAGCGCCACTTCCAGCGCCCTCCCGGGGAGCTGTCCAGTCCAGCGCCCTCCCGGGGAGCTGTCCAGTCCAGCACCCTCCTGAGGAGCTGTCCATTCCAGCGGCACTTCCAGGGAGCTGTCCATTCCAGCCCCCACTCCTCTCCCATGCCCTTCTTCCCAGCCCCACTAAGCCCCCCCCCACTTTCCCCATGCCATGATGCCGAGGTGCTGTTCCCCTGAGAGCGCGGAGCCCTTGGGATCGCCCAGCGGTCTCATCTCGAAGAGGGCTCCTGTAGCCATGCTCTTTACACCTTTCTCTGTCTCTCTCCGAGTGGCTGTGTATCTCGCCCCTGCACAGACACACACCTCTCTAGCTGTAGCAGGCTCATTGTGCGTGCAGTCACCCCCCTGCTGTATTTCAGACCCACACCCATTCTCTAACTCATCCATCCAGCCCCACACCTCATCCCTGTCCAGTTTGCAAAATACCAGCAGATCGGTCGCAAATCCAAAGCCAGCAGTGCTGAATGGAAGGCAGAGGTTCCGACCCGGATGGACTATAATATAAAAGACAGTGATCGTTTTGCTGTCGAGAGACATTTTTGCTCCATCTTTTTTGCATGAGCTTCCTGGTCCTGGTGCCACATCTTGGTGCCACTGGTCATCCCACTCTGGCACGCTTCTTTTTAACAGAACTCCTCATATTTGTATTTTTATATCCGAATCTTTGTTAAAAATGATCTGCTAGTGTCTAAGGTTGAAATACTGCATCAAAGATTGTTCATATTTTTCCCATAGGAAAGGAAAATAAGTGTAAAGAATGGAATTTAAATGGTTGGTTCTCGTAATTCTATATATCAGTATTGGACAGGACTTCTGGGCTGTGGTTAGGGTTTTGCACACCTCAAAACACCAGTAAACAAATGTATCTAAGAATCTTATACTGTGATTAATGGCTTTATTGACGGACCATGCAGAAACATAATGACTTTAGAAGATCTGATTGCACTGGCTACGAATGTGCTTGGATAACTCGCTGGTTATTTGACTCCTCTTTCTTGGGGGATGTTCCGAGTGGGTGTTTTTAATTTTGTACTTTAATTTGATTTAATTTTTTAAAAAGCTTATTCTGGTCTGATGTGCATGAGAAACGATCATCTTTTCAATAATATACTGTGTCATTTTATGAGGACAACAAAGCAAAAAAAGAAAAAAAAAGAAAAGGTCATGCCATTCTAAGAATGACCCATTGTACATTTCAATGCCATTTTTCACTGTATTGGTGAACAAAAATCAATGAATAAATACATACCTGTACCAAATGGAGGCAGGCAGCCCTGCGTGTCTTCCCTAGCAAGATCTTTGTCACTGGGCTTGAGCCAAACCTCAGTGAAGTGAATGGAAAACCTCCCAGTACAGTCAATGGGCTTTGGATGTGGACTGTTGAGGGAATAGTTGAGAGATTATTCAAGGACTTCTACCATGTTCTCCAGGCAATCACAACCCCCGGAGAACCGCACTGGGTCACAGGTATTTTTGCTGCAGTTGCCACCTCTCTCTGTGGGTTGGCTCTCTGCGTTGCTTGGGGTTCAGGAGATAGGGTGAGAACCCCTAGCTCAGGCCTGGTGCTGCGTCCCGGAGGGTCACATTCCAAGTCCCTGCAGGTTCGCTGGGAGGGAGGGAGGGCAGCAGGTGACCTAGTTTTTGCTTAAGACAGAAATAGAAACCAGGCTGCTGAGCGGCTTGTGGCTGTTAAATATTTTACTGGGGCCTCTCAGAGGAGCTGCCCTCATCCTGCGGCGGCTGGGTGGAAGGAACTCTGCAGCAGGGAGCTGGAGGAGGAGGCTGGTCCCAGAGGCACCTGGACCAAAGTGGAGCCAGCGTTGCTTTCCATCTCAATTCAACAGTCAGGCAGGCACATCACAAGGGCTCATTGGCCGTAGAATCCAGTGGAGCTGAGGAGGAAGGGGTGCCCCAGGGCAGCAAGGGGGTCAATGGCCAGGCCATCCGGTGCTCTCTCTGTTGCTGCCTTAGGCACAGGCTGATAAGAAGCCCCAGATAGGCTCACAGACTTTAAGGCCAGAAGGGCCCACCATGATCATCTAGTCTGACCTTCCGCACACTGCAGCCCACAGAACCCCGCCCACCAAGCCTGGAATAGCCCCATAACCTCTGACTCAGTTACTGACACCCACAAATCTTGATTGAAATATGTCAAGTTACAGAGAATCCACCACTGACTCTAGTTCAAACCTGCAAGTGACCCATGCCCCACACTGCAGCAGAAGGCGACAGCCCCCCAGGGTGTCTGCCAATCTGACCTGGGAAATACAGAAGGGGCAAAGCTCTCCACCCTTTCCTGAGCCCTACAGACCATCAAAAGCCCCTGGAGAGGAGAGGCTGGAGCCTCCCACAGGCCTTGGGAATTTCCTTTAAACCACTGGGAAATGCACTTGGCAATTCAAGGGCTATTTTGGAGGAGGAAGGGGTGCTTATTTACCTTTCTGGGCCACTCTAACACACATACACATTGGGGCCAATCCTTCCTTCTCTGTTCTTTTACATTTATTAAACTAGCTTTTGCATTGGTTGAAACCTTGCTTTTTCTGAGTAAGGGAAGGATGGAGGCTAGGTCCATCAATGGCTATTAGCCAGGATGGGCAGGGATGATGTCCCTAGCCTCTATGTGCCAGAAGTTGGGAATGGGAGATGGGTCACTTGATGATTACCTGTTCTGTTCATTCTCTCTGGGGCAGCTGGCATTGGTCACCGTTGGAAGACAGGACACTGGGCTAGATGGACCTTTGGTCTGACCCAGTGTGGCCGCTCTTATGTAAAGAGTCAAATTCAGACACCACAACTACAGGTAGTGAGCCATGCTACAAACACACTGAACCACAGACACACCCATATACACTCAACCCACACACAGAGCACCACAGATGCACAGCCAGTCACATAGGCTGGCCGACAGACTCATATACGCACATGCAAAGTGCACACGCTCCCAGATGCCTACATACACGCTCAACATATGTACTCAGAGACCCACATTCTGTATGGGAATCTGTGTGTATGACTTTAAGCCACATGCATACAGGAACTCCACAAACACCATCAGTACACCCACACCAAGACACACACACACACACACACACCCTATGTCTGCCCAAGCTGTATTTACATGGCTTAACGCTGACATGAATAAATGCCCATCCCCAAAATGCTCAGTATCTGGGGGAGGGGGGTACCTCGGGGTCTGAGCCCGCTGCAGTTAAGTGTCTCTACAGCTGGGCCAGCTCCTGTCTCCTTCTGCTGGAAAGAGAAGCCTGTGGGTATGGGGCCAATGGTGGAACATGGGTATCTACAGATCTCGCCCTTGCTGATCCATGTCCCAAGCTCTCTGAACACTCCTGTCTGTGCCCCCTGAGCTGCAGGAGACATGAAGCTGCCCCCGAACCTCTGGATTCTCAGCACCAGCTAGAGTCTCTCAGGTGCACATTTTACATTCATATTTTTTAACATCCTGATCCCCTTCTAGATCTCCCTATTGAATCAGATTGGCAGATGCCAGCCTCTCCCTGGGACTCCCATCTGGCACCTGCCTTCAGGGTGTCACAGTAACACAGAGCAGGGGGTACCAAGACAGGCCTTCCCCGCTGTGACCGCTACTGAAGTATTCACACCATCCACAAAAAGCGGACACAACCCCGGCCCCAAGGAGCCCATGTAAGGCCCCTATTGTGAAGTTGGATCCACATGGGTGGGCAGGGGTCCCATTCGATTGCATCCTCCCAAACTAACGGGCTGTTTGCACAAGGAGACCACCTCTAGTGAAGACCACAGCCCAGGGCAAAGTCCCTGCCTGCACCAGGGGACTTTCTCCAGCAGCCTAACACTTGCAATGGACTCTCTCTGCAGCACCGGCCCCTTGGTCTCCCACTGACCCTGTGTGTGGGGGGAAAGCCCCTTCAATTCCTCATATGGAGCCCAGGATCGGAGCTGGAGCCCTTTATCCAGAGACAGGCTTGTGAGGTCCCTAGAGGGGAGAGGCCTCCCCAGGCTGGAAGCTGCAGGCTGAGTGACCAGCATTAATGGGGTGTTGTGAGCACCCAGAGAGAGCACTGGGTGCTCCTCGCACTGTCACGGGTGTAGATCTGGAGAAACTCCACTGCCATCCATAGAATTACCTGGGTGTAAACGCCTCAGGCTCACAATGTGTTGGGTCCTGTCCAGCCACACAGGGAGACACAGCCCCTCCCGCAAAGGGCTCACAGCTGAAAGGAAGGAAGGCTTGTTATGCTAACTACAGTTCGGAGGGGTGGAGGGAGCCATTCCCCAGCAGTGGGAGTATGGGAAGGTCGTGACCAGGAAGCAGACGGCTCAGGTTCCCCCCAGTACAAACACACACACACCCCGCAGTATAATCACAAAGAGTTGCTGCTTCTCATAGCCCTGGGTTGTGGCCGTTTCCAAATCTGAGCCTGTGGAACAAGGGAATAGATCTGCCCCTGCCACCCAGGGTCAGGCCAGGAGGTTCCAAGGCATTTCTGATTCAGCCCAGCTGGTCTGGCAAAGCAGCAAAGCCCAGCCACAAGAGGGTAAAAGGGAGGGAAGGCAGCAGTACGGGGTCTCTCTGGTAGAGGTCACCCAACCTATGCCAGTGTAAACGAAGCACAGCCCAGGGCCAGCCTCACAGAGCAGCACCAGTGAGAAAAGGCCAGAGCCTCACCAGGCAGCCCCGGGAGCTGCTGAGGCTGATCCGTCAAGGGCTGCCATAGCCCAGAGGGGTGTTGATTAATGCTATTGACTTGGTGCAGACCGCCAGCAGTTTCCATGGACTATCCTGCCAGGGTTTCCACAGAGCTGACGGTGTGAGGCCTGGGTCGGCTCAAACGCTGGGCTAGCAGGATGAAGAGATTCCCCTCCAGAGGCGGCACAGCACTGAGATGGGAGCTGACTGCACTAAAGGGGACGCTAACCTGCCTTCCTGAGAGCAGCCTCCCCTCTGCCCATCCTCCCCCCACAAGGGCAAGGGGAGGAGGCCCACTCCCCCAGCCTCTTCCAAAGCCCATCCTGCCCCAGCCTTCAGCCTTTACCGACAGTCCCCTTTCCTGCCCATTCTCTGTCCCCACAGTGACTTTTTAGCTGGAGGGGCTTAAAGCACGGTTCATGCCCACTTTAGAGCAATGGTTAGTGACTCCTTGCTGGCTGCAAGCTCCAGCACACAGTCTGGCTCCTGGAAGTGATCAAGCGCAGGGTTAATTTACTGTGGGAATGGGTATGTCTGATCAGGCCACCTGTAAACCCAGTCCTCCCCCAAAGTGGGTATTCACCCACGAAAGCTCATGCTCCACTATGTCTGTTAGTCTATAAGGTGCCACAGGACTCTTTGCCGCTTTTACAGATCCAGACTAACACGGCTACCCCTCTGATGCTTCCCAGAGCCTGTGGGTCCCGCTCTGCACACACAGGACTCTCTCCCCCAGGCAAGGGCAGTGAGTTATATGGGCCCGTGGTGCCCATGCTCCAGGAATATTCAGGGCCCGGGGGCCCGGCTCCACCAATGTTTAGGGCTGGGTCTCTCCCCCGGCCCTGACTGCCGCCCCCACATGCCTGCCCCAGAGCATCTCCCAGCCCCACCTGCCACCCCCACGCAATTTAAAAGGGCTCAGCGGGCCCCAGTCACCACCATCAGCAGTGCAGCAGGGCTAAGGCGGCTTCCTGCCCAGCCTCGCTCCATGCCACTCCTGGAAGCGGCTGGAACAGCCCTATGGCCTTGGGTGTGTGGGGGGGAGTCACCATGCACTGCACCCGCCCTGAGCACTGACTCCACAGCTCCCATTGGCTGGGAACTGCAGCCAATGGGAGCTGCGGGGGAGGTGCCTGCGGCCAGTGGCGCACAGAGATCCTCTGGCCCCCCAGCCTAGGAGCCGTTGCTAGAGGGGTGTGCAGGTTGCTTTTGGGAGCCACCCAAGGTAAGCATTGCACCCCTCACCCTCTCCCACATCCCAACCCCCTGCCCCAGCCCAGAGCCCGCACACAAACTCCCTCCCAGAGCCCGCCCCCCATACCCACTCCTACACCCCAACCCCCTGTCCCAGCCCAGAGCACACACCCCACATACAAACTCCCTCCCAGAGCCTGCACCCCAAACCCCCTCCTGAACCCAAACTCCTGCCCAGTGCCTGCACCGCTCCCCTACCCAAACTCCCTCCCAGAGTGTTAGGCAGGTGTTGGACGGGGGGCAGGACTTGGACCCATTCTGGGCACCACCAAAAATTATACATACCTGCTGCCCCTGCCCCCAGGAGTAAAATGTCTGG